TCAATCAACCGGGGATCAATACTTATGTTCCTGAGTTTCTGCCATAGTCTGCCTCTGTCTAGAGAATCAAAGGCTGCTGCTAGATCGATAAAGGCAGCATACAGGGCCTTTGTGGGGCCCCTAACCGCCGAAGAGGCCAGGGTGTATAAAGTTTGGCAGTGTTCAATAGTTGAGTGCTCTTTTTTGAATCCAATTTGAAGGGGATGAATTAAATTGTTCTCTATAATTTGATCTTCAAGTTTATTTTTTAGATGACTACTATATAATTTGGACGCAACTGACAGTAAACTAACTGGCCTATAATTACACAGATCACACTCTTCACCCTTCTTATAAATTGGGACAATAATACTTGTGGTCCAACCCTTAGGGAGTCTGCCATTTCTATCAATCAAGGTAAAAAGCTTAGCCAGCATTGGGGCCCACCAATCAATAAATGCTTTAAAGCACTCAATTGGAATTAAGTCCTCGCCGGGAGATTTACCACTGGGTGTGGATTCGATCAATGACCTCACCTCACGCTCTGTTACCTCTGGCCAATGTGGTAGTGCAGAAAGAGAGGGATTTACCTGGATATTCTCACAATCACAACTAAAAACCTTGGCGAAATGGGCAAACCAGGTCTCAGCTTGGATATTAGAACCCCTCCTCATTGATTTACCACTAAAGCCTGCTGAAATTAGGCGCCAGAAGCTACCTTCATTCCTACTCCTAACCGCCTCTTGAAGCTCCGCCCATAGGCGGGCAGTACATTCTATTTTCTTTTCCTTTAAAAGATCTTTACATTGTCTTCTAGCTGTACCTACTAACCTAAAGGATTCCAAGTCCCTAACTCTTCTAGCTAACCTGATGCATTTCAACAAATATCTCTTGGATTGTGCACACTCTCTATCAAACCACTTGACTCTCTGCTCGGAAGAGGTGTTCTCTTTCAAAAATAGAGGTTTTAACTGTTCCACAATACTCTCATAAGAGAGAATCACGTCAACCTCTTCCCTGGTTTGGTCAGTGCAATCCGAAACCACTCCCACGCTAAGGAGTAACTCCGCGACTGATTCCTGGACATTTGTAGTCCATTTAGGTCTCCTATGTGATGGGGCATTCCCATTAAAATCGTCCAAGGCCCTGGTTATTTCCTCCCGGCCACCTACCCCGCATCTAAAACTGACGTCCTATACGTTATAATCTATCTGACGAAAACAGTTACACATTTTATTAACTATAAATAACATGCTATGCAACTTGAAACACTGATCTGTACAATTCAGCATCAACTTAATAAACATCTTTACCAGCCATGGTTACTACCAATTTCTGTTACAAACAAATAAGCTATTAAAAAATCTACAAATGTTAGTTGTAGCTCCACAAAAATTGAGAGACTAGAAAATTTAAGCATGCTTAGAAGAAACATAACAGTCTATTAAATAAAAGTAGTGTCATTGTTGGCAGCCGTTAACATTCTCATTTCTGAAATGCATCATTATTTATCTTATAAGTGAAAAATCTTTGATTCCCAGCGAGGGACAATGCTTAGACTGAAACCTATCTACTTAAAAGGTGAGACATTGATTGACTTTCCTCCAAAACAAAATGAGAAGTTAACCACAAATTAGCTCATTCCAGAATTTTTGTTATAACTACTATACAAAGCAAAGCTATCAAAAAGCCCAAGAACTTATCACAAAGCCCTTGGGGAACCCAGATTAGTCTGCAGTATATGGTACTAGCAATCATCTTCAGTTGACCGAAATGCACCCTCCTTACCCATTAGCTCAGCTGTTGAAGGTGTAGTGTTTAAGAATATTCAAAACACTCCCAATTTTTTTTAAAAAAAACTGTCAAGGCAAGAAGCCCAGAACAGATGGGACTATGCAGCGCTAGTGATAAGGCACTCAGCAAGAAGGAAACTAGGCAGACCTACCAAAGAGCTGCTCAGTTATTAGACTGTTGTGTATGCGCATATGAAAAGTGTGCATGTATCACTGAAGGAAGAACATAAAGATGACTTCCACAATAAACCTTATATGTTTCAACAAATAGGGTTTTCTGAAAATGGACCACCACCACTGATTGCAATTTCTGTTCAACATACAAGAATACGTTTTGAATTACACTCTCATCCTTCCTGGCAACTACCCCCCCTTTCTATGTGTAATTGTTGAGGAAATTCTGTTTCACTGTATCCGAAGAAGTGTGCTTGCACACGAAAGCTTATACCTTGAATAAAACTTTGTTGGTCTTAAAGGTGCCCCACTGGACTCAAAGTTTGTTCTACAGTCTCAGCTGTTATTGTATCATAATTTTTTCACTTAATCTAAATTACTATTCAAGATGGCTTTACTTTCCTTTTTAGTGTACTGTAGAATTTCAGTATTCTTTCCTTGAAACCCAAACATATTTACTAATTCATTTAAATTACATACACTACCTAAAAATGTTTAGGACTGGGGAAACACAAACTCATCTTGATTATGACAGAGAAATAAAGCTTAACAAAAGATCACCAATGCTCTCCTTAACCATGTCACAATATAAAAACTATGGGCTTCTTGGTTACATACAACTAAAATGTTACTAATCCTACTTCCACCCCTAAACCCATTGATCTAGTTACTATCTATTATGAAATTATGAAGCTACTCACCAGTACAAAGTAGTAAGCATAGAGTGCTACTAAATGGTGAATTACAAAAAATATATCCCCGATTGCCTTCCAATAGAAAATAATAAGCAACAAATCTAGAGGGGAGGAAAAGAGGGAGAGAAAAAAAGACACTAAATTACTTCAGTTATCATTTTTCCCTCCTAAAAGTTTCTATAATACAAGAATCTGAAACTTAACCGCAACATTTAGAGATGACAAAAAAAAATTTTTTTAATTAAATAATTCCTTAGCCAAAAGCTTCAAGCATAACCTTAAGTACAACATTCAGCACTGCAACACTGAACGTAACTACACTGAATGCAACTACAGTCCTGTGAGGTAGATTAGGCTGAGAGATTGTGACTGGCACAAGGTTGCCCAGTGAGCTTCCACATCTGTAGGGATTTGAACCTGGTTGCCTTAAGTCTTAATCCGACTAAGACTATGCCACACCAGCTCTCTGCCTATGATTCAACTGTAATGCCTTTGCAACACCACTGCAGTGCCACGCCAGACTTGATTTGATTTATGGGGGGATACTAATTCTAAGAAATAACATGCGTTTCTTAGAATTGGACTACATGGGGACTTTTATTCAAGTATAGCAAATGCATGCTCCATAGACAGCCAAGGAATTAGTTATTTATTTTCTACCCCTTGAAGGCCTACCGTTTGGGGGGAGGGGCCTTCTGCAACCAAAAAGCCTTGGCAAGCAAATACTGACAACATTATGTTGCTGACCATGTTAAGTATTATTATATACCACTTTTAAAAATACTCTCCAAAATATTTCAGATAGTACACATGACATTCAGGTGTTTGTTTTCTTTTGCAAAATGCGGCTGCCCAGACTGCTTTTTCAAGGAGAACATGATGGTGGTGGTGGTGTTGAGAAACTAGATACTGGGAATAAATTGAGCCATGCACTTTACAATTTCAATGAACTTATTATTTTTACCATTAGTTTACTTGCCAGTTTCACGGCGGACATTTTGAATTCTATATATTAAGGAAACCAAAGCTGTAGCAGTACGTTCAGAAAGATTGCACACCAGTGAAACTACCAAAAGTAAGAGCAGCAAAAGATTGGTGAGGAGGAGCAGAAACAGTGCTTATGAAACGGACAGCATCTTTTTTGTGAAGTATCAGGGAACTCTGACCAGATTATCACAGCAAAATAGAAGCCCAGACATGGACAGCACCATCCTAGCACATATCAGCTCTCTTCTCCATTAATATAAACCTCAAATTTACGTCAAACTATTTCTGAAGTTACTCGATGCTCTTCTCTTTTGCCACTGGTGAACTCCAATGTTTGCAATAAGTTTTTTTTTAAGCTATAAAAGGAATCCCTTGTGTTGAATGCATTCTTCTATTGATGCAACTTTGCCTAAACTCAAGGTAGTTTCGTATGATTTTTTGGTCATATTCCTCAAGAAACATTTGGAAATAGTCCATCTACCAATAGTTTCTGCAGTTAATTTGTTTCCCAGAAAAGAATTCATTCAAATAAAGCCTGTTGGTGCACAGACAATAACTCTTCGGACAGACTGAGGCAGTGTTGTAAAGCAGTTGTTTCCTATGGTGGATACACTCCTTTTTTGCATCCCACCATTGTTTTTGGTCAAACCACATTTGCAAATGTTCATAAAGTGGAAACACTGAAACAAGTTCCCAGAGGTACAACCAAAACTGCTATGAATGACATGGGTACTCACAGATGCATTTTTTGTGACTACAATTTATGACAAACTCTCCCCGCCATGCCTGGAGCACTTTTGGAACTATTTTAAAACTAATTTTGTTTCTTACATGGAAAAAATAGGTGTGTCCACACAGCTCACTTTAAAAGGGGGAGAGAGGCAGGTAGGGTCAACTTTTATTTGGGAGTAAAACTGATTAAATCAGATAACAAGTATCTTCAGGGTCTATGCAGCATCATGTATCTAGCGCAACGAAAGAGCACAGTTGCAACTCGGAAAACAAATTTCCTCTAACGGCAACTTGTCTTTTCTTTCATTACAAACAAGTGATGCTAAACCAGGGCTACCACTACAGGAGCAGTAAAAGCAAGGTAACTCCGGTGACTACTTACACAGCCTGAGAATGCGAGAAAGTGGCAAAGGAACTTAAAGGTATAAAAAAAGTTTTGAAGTAATCCATAAACCAGTTTTGAAGTAATCTATAATTTTTTTTGCTTATTTGTTCTGTGATATCAGCAATCAAATAATCACATTTTCCTACATGGCTCTTTACGCATATACAAAAAAAGCAAGAGACAGAGAGTAAAATTACTGTGGCAGTTGTACATCTTAGAGACTGACTCTCCTAAAAGCCAATTATTCTAGTAAAAAAAATCTTTATATAGGCATGAGCTATTATACATTTTCTAAATATATTGTTTATGTTATTTTGAACTTTGTATTCCCCTCTCTCTGACAAATGACTAATGACACATAAATTACCTGAAATGAGGTAGCCTGTAGTAATGGCAAGATTAAGTTTCACTATAGAAGGATCACCCCTATAAATAAAGACATAAAATTTATATTACATATCAATTTATGGCAGATAATTTTATTGGTACAGTTACACTGCCAGCATATCCTCCTTCCCCACTCCTCACTCAATGTCTATTTCCCCCCTCTCACATCACAAGACTGTGGAAGATGGCACAGGAGAGGTTTTATTTAACTAACCTAGATATATGACAAGCTGGGCAAACAACAGTTATTGAACATGAATATAAAATTTTAAAAGTTTAATTAATGGACCACAGAAGAGAACAGAAAAACTCATTATTAGAGAAGTGATTGTAAAAATATGTTCTAGCTCTAGAAAAGTATATTTTCCTCCTTATTCTGGCCAGCAGTGTCCAGATGTGCCCTGCTTTCTCCTACCATAACACGACCTCCATCCCCCTGCTGGTACAGGTAATGAGTCACCAAGTCTGGTGATGGAGCAGAACCACCCAGATTATTAGGGTTTAGTAATGGCATAAGAAGATAAAGACTGGAGCTTGCAGCTGAAAAATTTAAAGATCTTCTAAAGATCTTCTAAAATACCAGAGTTAATCTACTGCACTTTACATAGGAAAAAAGCTCCAATAAGAAGGGTCAATTTCACATTTACTAATTCCCACCTTGTGGTTTTGATTAAAACCAAGCATATAAAAGATTTTATGTGATAGCACATAACCTGGTGTGCTCTGCTGACCAACATCTACTGGTAGTCCCTGTCCTGGAAGATGTTCACTTAGCCTCAACCAGCCTGGTGGAACATGCTCTCATGTGAGATCAGGGCCCTGCAGGACCCATTGCAGTTCTGCAGGTCCTGCAAAACGGAGCTGTTCCGGCAGGCCTCTGGCTGAGACAGCAGACATCCAATCCATCTCAGCCTCCCCTGCCCATAGAACTACATCTTTGAAATAATTTATCCTACAGGAGGCATTAAGGACTGCCCTGGAGTTTTTGTCTTGCTTTTGCTGCCATCTTGTTCTATTGTCTGATTGTTTTGACTTGGTTTTATTATATGGTACTATTACTTATTTAGATCTTAATTAGATCTAAATTAATCTTGTTTCTGGGATAGGACAGGATTGGTTTCTAATAAAGTTAATGAATTAATGAATTAATGAATATCTTAGTTGCAGTTGCCTAAACTTGACTATATCATGTCACTAAAGAGGCCATTAGTGCTCTAACAGTAACATAGCCAAGAAATAGCTTAGGTCTGCCTTCCCAGGGAAGAAATATCTTTTAAATCAAAATTATTAAAACTTTCTTTTACATCTTGGTCAATCCAATCAAGACATTGTGGACTCCAACTAAGAATCATACCTATGAATGGAAAAAAGGATGCCCAGGAAACTTGTGAATGGAAACTAGTGTACTCAGCAAGTTCCTGGTGCAAAGAAGACAGCAAAGGCATTTCCCATCTCTGACAGACCATATGCCTGTAGACAGTAAGTTAATACAGAATTCGTAGATGAAGTTTTTTACTTAAGGCCTACCCGAAGTCTTAAAGTGTTTGAAAGTATGATTAACTCTTATCAGAGCTTCTGCTTCTCTCTTTTTAAACAAACTGAAATTCTACAGATGAAGGGTACATAATGTAAGACACATCAGTCACACTCAGAATTACTACCTACGATCTCCAGAATGACTGGCCAGGCTGTGGGCAAAGTTTCACATGACAAAACTGTGTGGGCTGGGGAAAAACCTTAGCAGGATAGATGGCAGCTTAGAAGCCTTACACTGCCTACTCAGGCTATGCTAGGAATTTTAGCACATGAACACTGCACGGAAATGATTATATATATAAACTACCACATGCTTAAAAAAAAATCCATTGCTTTTGAGCCGCTGACAGAAACCTGAAATTTCACAGTGAAAGTATAAGCCCCATAAAGTATCATCAGATACTGAAGTAGAAGATTTTACTTGCTAATATTGATATTAATTTGGAGGTGGGGATGCAGGAATCAGCTATACTTTCCCTGAATTAGAAAAGGATATCATGCTAAAAAGAATCAATATGACCTCTAAACCTTATTTCTGTTCTATCAGATGTTAACTGAATCATAGCTTTAGGCTGCAGTTAACTATTTTTAAATTATACAAAAAATTGAAGGAAGATTTCTTTTAGTTTTCTATAACCTCAGGCATTTATCACTCCAGTGTAATGCTGATTTATGTTCATTCCATTCCCCCAGCTTCTTCCTCAACATTAAAAACAAGCCAACTAGTCCTTTTTCAAGCTCGTATTAAAGTCTCAACATTATAATTATATCAGTTCCCAGGAGGAACTAACGGCAGGTAAATGGAACACAATGCATAAATCACTTGGGCTGCTTCAGATAGATTCCAGTCATGTTTCTTTTGTACTGTTTTCAGGTGAAATCCACAGGAATATTGATAGCGATATTTATTTTCTAAAGACACAGTATTCTTTTACAGGGTTTGCAAGAAATGGCCTCAAACACTATTCTGAACGGGAAATCAATTAATATAATTAATAATTTCAAATGGGGCTTATATTGGTAGAGCATTTTCCCCCTCAGGCTACCATTAACTTTTAAGAACAAGAACACAGTGTATTGTTGTCTAGTTGCTGAAGTTACAATAGTGTTTCCATTCACTCATTCCAGTCCGTGGATTATTTTATTTTTGAACTGTACAAGAAACAGTGAGATATTTAATTGACTGATATGGTTATTCAGTTGTTATGTAGGGGTTAGAATGCCTAGTGATTTTAGTATTATGAACACAATCCTGAGAAGACCTCAGCCTCCATCTTTACTTTACCAATTGCAGAATATTGTTTCTAAAATGTTCACATTTACATGACTACAAAGATCTGTAGAATCAAGTCAGGTCTACTTCTGTTGTATTTTAAGTGAAGTTTTAAAACAATTCAACCACTTATTTATTTAATTCATTTATATACCACCTTTCTCCCCAGCGGGGACCCCAAATTGCTTACAGCATTCTCCTTACCTCCCATTTAATACTTAACACTTAGTACAAGTAGGGTAAGGAAAAGAAAGTAGGGAAAAGGGATTTATGAGCAAGGATCCACCTTACCAAACATGGTCAGCATTAACAGCTTCATCGTATAATAAAATATACAAACAAAATGCTCCAACCACCAAGGCATGGAATGTCGATACTGTCCTAAAAAAGAGGTAAAAGCAATCTTGTTAGGAATGTTCTGGCTGTGCTAGTCTAAAAATATATAAGTACAATTTAAACTAGATATTCTTATAAATTCTCAGTTCCAATAAAGAAATACTTGCAGAAAAAGAAACAAATGAAAATTAGCATTTGATCCACCAGGCAACAAAGCCTGTTTTGATCCAACACGCAAAGTGACATCTAAGGAAAAATACAGCTTACACTCTAACGTATTATTTTAAAGTAGGGTTGCCAGACTTCTGCTGGAGGTGGGGGTCCCCCCACTGCCAGGCCCTGCCCCTCAGTCACTGATCAGGTGGCTGGTGAGGAAACTTACCTGGAGAAAGAGAAAGGTCCAAGCTTCACCGCCACATAGGAAGTGATGTCATCACACCAGTGATGTCAGGCAATGCTCTGGTATTTGGGCAAAAACTCTATGGTAGAAGCTGGTTTTACCATAGAGTTTTTGCCCAAATACCAGACCGTTGCCTGGACGTTGCTGGTGTGATGATGTCACTTCCTGTGCGATGCTAGCAATGAGGTTTGGGCCCTTCTCTTTCTCCAGGTAAGCCCCTCCCCATCCCCAGCTGGTTAGCAACTCTATTTCAAAGTGGATATTCTACATGTGATTCAAATTATTATTAACTTGTGATGATTACCAAATGCGGAGTTCTTTTGGTGAACAAAAAAAAGCAGACCCCACTATATGGCCCCTCTGCAAACAAGGGAAGACAACACCAAATAGGGGTATCCACTGATCGTTTGCTATTCACTTAGATGTCGTTGTGATTTATATTCCAATCATCACAGTGTTCCCGTGAAAAATGTTCTGCAGATATTGCATCGATTACTGCAAAGATCAGAAAATTTAAGAGACAGTGTAATCCTATGTAGAGTTACTTCAGCCTCTGTCAATTGAAGTCAATGAGCTTAGACTGGAGTAACTTCACACTGAATTGCTTTGTTAGATGTGTCCAGGTACTTGCTTAACAAGAACACAATTCTAGATAAGTAACTGTGGTAGACTATAGCAGCAAAATAAAACAGCAGTCCAATGCAGAAACAAACTTTATTCCACCATAAGCTTCCATGAGTCAGAGCTCGCTTCACCAGATGTATGAACTGTATATCCAAAAGGCTGATGAATTTATATTAAAGGCTGCAAAGAAAGGTGGGAAGATGTTACAAAGAGATGCCAGTTCAAAAACAAAATCCAATAAAAGAGTAATCTACTGAGAGTGGGTGAGGAGAACCACTATCAGTCGTTCATAGATAATCCTATTTTGCCAGTCTATCAGCCGTTGTGAGTGATCCTTATCCACTCTGAGTAGATTACTCTTTCGACTGGATCTTGATTTTAAACTGGCCTCTCATTGTAACAATTTGCCCATCCTTGTCAGCCTTTGGCGTAGTGTTGAACTACGCTCTGTGAGATGCAGAATCACACCCCCTCTCTGCCATGGAAGCTCATTGAGTGACTTTGAGCCAGTCACATACTCTCAACCTCACCTATCTCACAGGGCTGAGAATGATATAAACTCCTTTGAGCCTACATTGTGGGGAAAAATCGGGTATAAATGTAGTAAATAAATACAGCTGAAGTGGAGGCTGATAAAATATATGCTAATATTGTATGCCAATAAAAGGTATTTGACTTTGATAAAATATATGTTGGTTGATAGGCAGGAAGAAGAGAAGGAGGCAGGAAAAAGTGAGAGGCTATGGGGGACTTCAGTGAAGGGAAACAGGAAACAGCAGTGGGAAAAGGATTACTGGTGAAACTGAGGTGCCCCTCACAAGTCCTTGTGGGTTCCCCACCATGCAACTGGGCCTTGCACTGCTCAGCTCAGCCAGACTTGTCCCAAGGAGACGCTGCCAGGGTTAGGAAGTAGGAAAAACTGAAGATTGGGGGGGGGGGGAGAAAGTGGGTGAGGATAGTGGTGAGGTGTTGGAAAAGGCAAGAGGTTGTGGGGGCCTTCAGAGAAGGGAAAGCCCAATCACATCCAATAACCAGGAAACATGACTCTCAAACAGAAACTGTATCAGTGATCAATATATCCAATTCTCAACATCTGTGGATATTTAAATCTGGAGACTGGGGCTATGGACACATGAGACAGACCTTTCTACAAACCTGAGAAAAGCCCCATGTTTGCAGGAAAATCTGAAATCTAAAAACAAGCAAACAAATATTGGGGGTTAAAAACTGTACAAAAACTGTAGAAGCAATGTCAGTAGCTTTGACAAATGAATGCCCTCTATGGCCACTGCTAGGCAATCACAACAGCCAGTTTGGTGTAGTGGTTAAGTGTGCGGGCTCTAATCTGGGAGAACCGGGTTTGATTCCCCACTCCTCCACTTGCACTTGCTGATGTGACCTTGGGTCAATCACAAGCTCTGGCACAGCTGTTCCTGAAAGAGCAGTTTATATCAGAGTTCTCTCAGCCCCACCCACCTCACAGGGTGTCTGTTGTGGGGAGGGGAAGGGAAAGGAGTTTGTAAGCCGCTCTGAGACTCCAAGTGAAGGGTGGGGTATAAATCCAATCTCTTCTTCTTCTTCAAGCCTTGATTTCTGTCGGTAAAAGGCAGGGGGAGGGGGCAGGGCCATTTCTGGGCCGGGAGGGGGGGAGGATTCATTGTGGCCAGGCCTGGCAGCAACCACCAGCCAACTTGTACAACTCATCCAGGTTGTTCTGGCTGGTATTCAACAGCAGTCGCCCCATAACAGCCAGCGTGTTGTAATGGTAAGAGTTTTAAATTAGGATCTGGGGAAACCAAGTTCAAATTCCCACTCTGCCAGGGAAACTCAATGGGTTGCTTTGGGCCAGACACATACTATCTGCTAAGTCTACCTCACAGAGCTGTTGTGAAGATAAAAAAAGGAAAAGATAGGAATGATGTAAGCTGTTTTGGGTCCCCATTGTGAAGGAAGGGTGGGTACAAATGAAGAAAATAAATAATAAATATTGCTAAAGATGGGGGGGCAGATAAAAGGTAGTTTGATCGGTGAGGAGGAAGAAGAAAAGGAAACAGGGAAAACTGAGATATGGGGGCTGCCAGGAGGAGGGAAAATGAGGTGCACCATGGTGCAACTGGGACTGGCATGGACAGCACCATGCAGCCGGGCTCAACTCAGCCAGCACTGAATAACTGGGGCCTAGCTGGCAACCAGCACCACACAACTGGGCCATAATTTTCCCAGGTAGAGATGGCCAGTGGGAGGGAAGGAAGAAAAACTGATGATTGGGGGGGGGGAGAGATAAAGGTAGACTGGCTGTTGGGTGGGAAGCAGAAAAAGGGGAGAGGCTCTGAGGGCATTCAGGAAAGAGGAAATAGTGGGGGAGAGGGAAATGAAGAAGAGTTGGTTTTTATACCCCACTTTTCTCTACCCTAAGGAGTCTCAAAGCAGCTTGCAATCACCTTCCCTTCCTCTCCCCACAACAGGCACCTTGAAAGGTAGGTGGAGCTAAGGGAGTTCTGAAAAAACTGTGACTGGCCCAAGGTCACCCAGCAGGCTTTATGTAAAGGAGTGGGAAATCAAACCTGGTTCTCCAGATTAGAGTCTGCTCCTCTTAACCACTACACCAAACTGGATCTTGAGATGAGAAAATTAGATGCCTCTTGCAAATCTTCGTGGATTCACGTCCTGTTGGATATTTATACTTCATGTATCTGATGAAGTAAGAAAACTTATCCTGGAATAAAACTCTTAGTTTCTAAAGTGCTCTTGGCGTCCTTGAAGAACTGCAGCGCTAAAGCATCAAACGAAAAGATTTGCCACAATTTAGCAGGTCTGTGCAGATGTAATAACTATGTGTGCATTTTCACTTGGTTTAATGGTGGCAGCAGCAGCTCTCTCCTCTAAATAATCCTTGTGCTACTGAAGCAAACAGGGAGCCTCATGCATACATTCAAGAGCTCGCAGAGATCTTTGGAACGGAGTCAGAGTCTTTAATACATTAGACCCTGTAATTAGCTATTTCAAAGGAACAAAAATTATAGAAAGACAATATCTTTTGGTGTCTCACAGTAATTTGCTGTTCAGTATTTCAGAAAGATTGCTTGTTCACTGTTTTACCTTCAAATAGCTTTCTGGCTTCAATTGAGGAATGCTAAAACATCAGAAAGTTAACATTCTGCAGTGCTGCTCTATTAAAGAACACCCATTAAAGGCAGTGGAGAAAAATCTAATATCAGTTTACTTTGGAACTGCCACAGCAGAGAGAATATGTGTACCTCTCACTATATTCTCTTTTTTTCATTAAACTACCATATCAAAATTCAACATGCATTCAAAACAGTAACTATTTTAATTATAATAAGCAGTTTGTTCTGTTAGTCAATTATGGGGTTTCCCCCCACTAAAACCCTCCAGTGCAACAGGTAGGCAATAAAATACAATGAAGAAAGCAAGAAAAGAAAAGGTTATATGCTAGATGTAGTGCAAACCACAGATCAGGTGGCATGCACTTTTCCAGTATAGTAAGAGTAAAAATATAGGGCACTTCATAAAAGACAGAACAAAATATTTTCTAAGTCTTCTAAATACAAAATTATATACTTGCAATAATTTATTCTTATTCAATAGATTATTCTATTGTTAATAAAGTTTACCTTGAATTCCATTCAATCTTCTTCTTTTGGTCAAGATTATTAAAACCAGAAGTTACACGTGCAGAAACCCAAGAACTTAATACATGGAAGAAAAGTTGAAATATAGCAAAACTACTAACACCAACTCCCAAAATGAGTTTATTGAAGGCAGCCATCGTTCTTCAGCCTATTAAAAAGCAAACAGAGTTCCTCAATTCAGCAATGGCTCAATGGTGAAGTGCGTACAAAGCAATAACCATCCTGATTTTTAAATCAGCAATAAGTGATACTGAACACATAGTCTGCACTTCTGAAAGCCACAGGAAGATATACTCAACTAACTGGGTACCTTAAAACTTTAAAGAAAACACAGTCCACTTTAGAGTTGACAACCTTCAGGTGGGGCCTGGAGATCTCCCAGAATTACGACTTCCAGAAAACAACAATTAGTTCCCCATAGGGCTTTTTTTGTAGAAAAAGTCCAGCAGGAACTCATTAGCATAATAGGCCACACCCAGCAGTAAAACTCATTAACATATTAGGCCAAACCCCTGACTGCACCGCTCATTAGCATATTAGGCCGCATTCCCATGTTACCAGAAGTGTGGTCATCCAGCCACACCCACCTTTTGCTTCTTATTGTGTTTACCTTGTTTGTTGTCAAAACCCAGGGCTTTTCTTGTTGCAGGAACTCCTTTGCATGTTAGGCCACACACCCCTAATGTAGCCAACCCTAATGAGTTCCTGCTGTTGGGTGTGGCCTATTATGCTAATGAGCTCCTGCTGGGTGTGGCCAACTTGGGAGCCAGCCGGAACTCCGTTCCTGTGCGTTCCTGCCCAAAAATAGCCCTGGTTCCCCTGCAGAAAATGGCTGCTAGAGCCTCTGGTATTATATCCCTGCTGAAGTCCCTCCCTTCCGCAAACCTTGCCCTTCCCCGCCTCCACCCACATATTTCCAGGAAATCGCAAACTTGGAGTGGCAACCCTACTCGGCATGATCTTCATATCATGCCCCACTATTCACTGTCTAGAATTGCAGCCATAACCATTTCATTTTTCAACGAGAGTTGAAGTTGACTCTAAACATAGTTACAATACAATTCTGTACTCACTTTTCATCCACTAGACAGGGCTATCATTACAAATAAATTTCCTGTGCATGATAGGGTAGATTTTTTTAACATTATGTTTCAGCCAAGTTTTTTTTCTTTTGCAATAATACATTTTAAAATGAAATCTAAACTTAATGCAAACACCTTTTAAAAGTGAACTTATGATCCTTTGAAGGCAGTTCTTAAAGAACTACAGGGAAAGCCATCTTCATCAGCCATCATACAGCACAACAGCTCATAAAATTATATTATGGGAAATCTGGGCCAGAGATTGGCAAATCACCACAGGTGTAATCTACTGATCCACTCAGGTGACCATCTGCTCTTATATTATGCCTAGGAATCACCACAGTTGTACCAGTGAGTGCCACCCCAGATTGGCTGCCACAGAAAGTACAGACAAACACTCATTCTAAAAACGTTTTCCTGTAGAATTTTTATAAAAGTGTGTTTCTCAAACAAGAGAAGAGGTAATAAAAAGAAATGAAGGAAAGCCTGACAGGGGAAAGGAAGAAAGAGAAGAGGAAATAACAACAACAACAACAACAACAACAACAATAATAATATACTTTATTGTCATTGTACATAGTACAACAAAAGCAAAGATGCAATCATTTCGGTGATCTACAACAATATTCATATACACTCACACACCATTCACAACTGTCCCATAAATCCCTTAAGGTTCACATAACTTAAAACCACCAATGTCACCCAAATTCCAATTTCATACAGCATTTAAGGCAATAATAGCTCTCGAATAAAAACTATTTTTTTATCTTTTTGTCCTTGCTTTAATTGTCCTATATCTTCTGCCCGAAGGCAACAGTTCAAACAGGGAAATAAAGAGAGCCTAAACTTTAGGCCCTAAAGGGAAATGGACCAACACACTATGGAAAGCCTGGGACCTCCTGATCCGCCAGTGGCTGCAACTGCTACTGAGTGAGGGCAGTTAGTAACAGCCCCTGCCTTACAATGGTCCTACCTCCTGCTTGAAAAGCTGAGTGAGCTTTTCAGGGAATAAACGGGTAGGCCCCATGGCACCCAGAGGCACCACGTTAGGGAAGCCAGCCTTAAGATCTGTCCCTGTGCAAAAAAAACCAAACCAAAGGAATTGCTGCAACACGTTCATAAAGTTACAGAATAATGACAAAAATGTATGGGCATTTTACTGATGTTTTAATCCCAAATTTCTTCTTTTATTCCATAGGTCAGATGACGAACATCTCGAGTTTCCAGAGTTCGTTTCGAGGTCTTTATCAAAATTCCTATTTGAAACAAACAGTATTCATAATAGGAAACAGGAATCTCGACCATGGCAAATTTTAAAATGTCAATAAATAGTAATTTCATACATACTGTTTTGCTGTAATTTTTCAAACAATCCAATATTAGGAATCTCAATTTCTATAAAATTTAATAAACACTACAATCAGCACAACTTACATCACTATTTTGAAAAAGGCTCAAAAATAGCTCCATAAGCACATATCTTACCAGAATGGCTATGAATAGCTCCCGTATTAACCACTAGTTCTTTTTCAACGGACAACGTCTTAACCATTAATGGTGAACAAGTATTATATATGCAAATGTCAAATCACGTGTCTCCAATATAATGGAGGCCAACTTATCAGGTACAGACATACAAAAAACACTATATAACAGATTAATGCTAAATAATCAATGTACATCCAAAGAATCGCCCAGCTTAATTCTCACATAGAAGGTTCATACCATTTAACATCAAGAAGAGTCAGGGCATATCTCATGGAAATTATGGAGGCCGGCTTGTCCTGCTTTTCTTCCTCCTCCTTTACCTCCAATATTAAAGTTAAATTTTTCTAAATTAATTTGTTGTTATGATAGCCAGTATGCATTCATATAAATGCTTCACTTGGCCCATGCTTACCAACGTATAAAGAAAAGGCAGAGAAACTTCTATCCACATAGGAATCATTCTAACAAGCAAAGTTCCCAAGGCTTCCCCCTACATCAGGGGGATTTGTAGTAGGTGCCCAGGAAAAGCCTGGGGTTAATTAAAAAAAGAGTCTTGAGACAAAAAAAGTGAGTTTAGTTTCCAAAAGATCAAGACATTTCTCTAAAAGCTTCTGATGACAGAAGCATATTACTGCAGTCTGAAATCATATTGTTGTTGTTTTTTTGCAGATGCATTGCACTGCTGCTGACTTGCATACAGCTTGCGATCAGCCACAATTTTGAGATCCTTCTCACAACATACTATTTCCAAGCCAGCTGTCTCTCCCACCATCCCATGCCTCCAGATATAATTATTTTGGCCTAAGTGCAGACCTTTGTATTTGTACCTGTTAAATTTCATTTTGTTAATTTCAACCCAGCTTACCATCCTACCAAAGTCATTTTGAGTTTTAGATCTGTCATATAAGGTGTAGACTATAACCCCACAGTTTTATGCCATCTGCAGATCTGATGATTCTCTCCACCCTTTCATCCAAGTCAAAGATAAAAATCTTGTAGGACATCAGACCCAGGACAGAGCCCTCACTCAAGAACTTGGTCTAGGTTGATGAAATACCATTGATAAGCCTTATGTGGGAATGGCTCTCCAACTAGCTGTGAGTATACATGACAGTACTATCTTCTATCTAGCCCTTGTTTAACAAGCATGCTCACAAAAATATTACGGAGACTGTCAAATGCTTTGCTGAAAACAACTCTTTCATATGTGGGTAACAAGGTTCCAACTTCTGAGCTGGAAGGAGACAGTAACTGGGCCTCTCTTCTTCCAACAGGTACAAGAGAAGAGAAAGTGAATCTGTTACACATTCCTTCCATCTCCCTTCATCACTCCCATTTATTCCCTGGGGATCTGTTCTCTTCAAGCCTCAGGCAGTGCAGAAGGTAATGAGTATAGCCACTACACCCACTGCCTTCCAGACCTGCACCACTGATGGATGGGCAATCTGTGGCACTGTGGTGGTAGGGCCAAAGGACAAAGTCAGTTTAGAAGACAGTTTCACTTCAAACAGTTTGAGATCCTAGGATGCAATTCATCCAGCCCAGAAGACTCAGATTCATTTAATGTAGTTAGGTTACACACAATTTCCCTTCAGGGAGAAAACTGAGGCAAACAGAAATCAAAGAGTTCTGCTTTCCCACTGTCACCAGTAACAACACGTCCCCAGCTCTTACTGGAGGGGAGCGGTGGCACAGGGGATTTATCCTCTGGTTAAACATCTGAGCTGAACAGGACTGCTGTCAGTTCAAGCCCCGCACTGATGTGAGCTACCAGCCGTGTCCCCAGCTCGCCGTCCACCCAGCGGTTCGAAAGCTTCGGCGAGTAGATAAAATGGGTACCACTCCTTAGAGAGGGTGGGCACACTTAAACCCCCCCCTGGTGGGAAAAGAGGGTGTGACAAACGGAAGGTCCGCGCGTAAGCTCAAAAGCGGAGAGAGATCGACACAGCTTCAAAGAAAAGCCTGCAATGGGCCATTCCGGCCAGACGGTGGCAGTGGTGCGCTGCGACTGAGAAAATGCTGACAACATCAAGCGATGCCGACTAAAAGAATGCTGCCGGGACACAACTAATGCTTACAGCTGACCAAACTCCCTGTCGACTGCGAAGTGTGTGTGATTAAAATTATATATGCTGTTCTCCCTTACCCCCATCATTGTTAGTTCCGTGTCTACACATGAGTAACTGTAAATCGCTCAGAGCCGGCAACTCTGCAAGGATTGAGCGATCAATAAATTGAAAGATTATTATTATTATTACTGCAGGTGGTGGTAGTTGCACCACTTTTGACCTGAAGGGCTGTGAGCCTTCCTTTCCATATGGTGTAGGCTGTGGCAACTATCCTCCATCTTCATACTCAGACATTCTCATTGGAAAACTCCAAACGTTATTTCTAGTTCAATGATTAAGAAGGTCTGCTGATCCTCCCCCTGCTCCCCAAAAACACTCTTCCATGTGGTTTCATCTGTCTGCAGCCCTTCTCTGCATCATTAATAGTTTCATCCTGTTTTCCTGCCAGAGTGCCTCCTGTATCCTGCCCAAGAAACCATCCCAAGAAACCATCTT